GGCGGCCTCGCGTCCCCACACCACGGTGGAGCGCCGGACCCGAGCTCGAGGGCTCTGGCGGCCGCCAGGGTAGCCCAGGGCCCCGCCGCCCGCGCTCCTCAGCAAGTGCACCTGCCCGGGAGGGCCAGACGGAGCTCCGGGTTTATTCCGGGACGTCCCAGCTGAGCGTGCGGAGAGGGGCGCGCTTTCAGTCCTTGTCTCGGGACGGTCTGGGCTCGGGGGAGAGCCCCGCGGGGAGGGCACAGCCGGGCTTCGTCACCGCAGTGTTGGGTGCGCTCATTACGAGGGCCGACCGGGAACACCACCCGTGTCACAGTCCTGGGTTGATGTACATAATCACGTAAAGTACAGCCATAGTGATACATTGGGCGCAGGGTATGCGGCACCTCCCTGGCCTTTGGTGACTGCCCAGCGTAAGGTGCTACTGCCTCTTCAGTCCCTGCAGCTCTTGCATTCAGGGCAGAGGCTCAGCAGACACCTGCAAAACTGCGTAGCCGCTGTGGAGAAGAGCCTCCTGTCCCCTCCCAGGCTGGGAAGCAACCAAGGCCTTTGGAGTGAGGAAAACGAGGGAGCTGAAGCAGAAAGGTAACAGAAGTCAGGAAGCCACCTCTGATGCAGACACCCAGGATGAGTAGGGTTACAATGCTCAGAGATGCAAGGAGCTAGTGCATCTGTATCACAGTTTGCTATACGAGGCAGAACAAGAGATACTTGGGAAAATAAAAGGCACTGCTGCAGCCAGGTGTGGTGGCACACACCTGTAATCCCAACGTTGGGAGACAGGCAGGGGGATTGTCATGAGTTCAGAGACAGCCTAGGCTGCATAGTGAATTCAAGGACAGCCTGAACTACATATGGAGACCCTGTCTCAAAACAAAACAAAAAAAACTATTGAGCCAGGTGTAGTGGTGCCTGTCTGTAATCTCATCACTGGAGAGGCTGAGGCAGAAGGATTGATGTAAGATTGAAGCCAGCCTTGGCTACATAGTGAGTTAAGGCCCACCTAAACTGTATAACAAGACCCTTCCTGAGCCAGGCGTAATGGCACATGCCTGTAATTCCAGCACTTGGGAGGCTGAGGCGGGAGGATCCTTGTGAGTTTGAGACCAACCTGGCTTACAGAGTCAGCTCAAAGCCAGTCTGAACTGCATAGTGAGACCCTGTCTCAAAAAGAAAAGAAAAGAAAAAACAAAAAAACCCGGGGGCTGGGGATTTAGCTCAGCGGCACAGTGTCTGCCTGGCAAGCACAAGGTTGTGAGTTCGATTCCCGGTACCAGAAAAAAACAAACAAACAAACAAAAAAACAACAAAAAAACCAAGAACAAGACCCTAGGGCCTGGGGATTTAGCTCAGAGGCACAGCATCTGCCTGGCAAGCGCAAGGTCGTGACTTTGCAAAAACAAGACCCTGCCTGGAAAAAGAATGCACTGTCAAAAAAAACTTTTGCTACTTTGGAAGACAAAGCAGTGGGAGTCTCTGAGAACCTGGAGCAGCAAAAATGAAAGACAAGGGTAGAGGTCTGTCCCGGTGTTTCTCAGTTCCCCGCAAACCAGCACCTGTACCTTCCTCTAGTGCGAGCACTGATTCTGGGAGGCTGGAGAGGGCTCTGCCTTCTCCACCTCCTCCTCCAGGGGGCTCCTTGTGCTCCGAATGGTTGCGCTGGGAGTCCCAGGGAATGGGTTAGGAGAGTGTAAAGAAGAAAGCCTGCTGAGTGTGCTGGCGCACACCTGTAATCCCAGCCCTAGGGAGGCTGAGGCAGGAGGATCACTACAAGTTTGAGGCCAGCCTTGGCTACATAGTGAGACCCTGTCTCCAAAAAAAAAAAAAAAAAAAAAAAAAAAAAGCCTGGAGAGGGAAAACAGGAAATTTAGGAACACAAGATAGGAATTTCCTGTAGCTGAAAATCATCTAATTCTAAATCAGACTGGACAGATGAACAAATTCTAGTAATGGACCCTTCCCTGTGAAGGTTCAGAATTTTAGAGTCAGTGAGGGTCTCAAAAAACAAGTCAGGCTTTTTTGTCCTGGGAGGTTGACAGGAGGATCTGTCGCTACTTTTTAGTGCGTTCCAGGTGGGCCTCGCCAGAGGGTGCAAGAATCCAGACCAGGCCGATCTTGGGCCCTGGAAGGTTGTCTCCCGCATATCTGAGGTCAGCAGCCTGGAGTCCCATGTGCAGGTTGGGCGCTGCTGGTACAAGCCATGGAAGCTGGGAGACCTCAAGCTGGTGTTTTGGCTGGCACTAGTTGTCACTGTAGCTACAACAGTAAGTACTTCTAAAGAGGTGAGATGTCCTTAAGTGTACCTGATGTGGCTAAAAAAAAAAACAAAACAGGAGTGAATGTTGTTGGATGGCATTTGGCCAGCCAATAAAAAGGCAGGGATCTTCCATGGAAGAGCCCGTGGAACCTTAGTAGCAGTGCGACAAGTTTGAACTTGCAGTCAGTCCGAGCTATGCTTGAGAGAAGTACTTTTTGGTTTTTTTTGTCTTTGTCTTTTTGAGACAGGGTCTTGCTATGCGGTTCAGGTTGGCCTTAAGCTCACTTTGTAGCTCAGGCTGGTCTCGAACTCACAGTGATCTTCCTGCCTCTGCCTCCCGAGTGCTGGGATTACAGGCGTGTGCCACCATGCCTGGCATGGAGGGAAGTGTTTTTGAAGTGCCATATATGATATATCGTGAACAAACATTAACATGAAATTTTGTTTGAAACTGCAAAAAAAGTGCTAAAGAAACACACGAGGAGTTAAAATTAGTTGTCTTGGTTTCTTTTCTCTCTTTGCGGAGACAAAAATACAAGATGCCCAGAATTAAGGAAGGAAAGGTTTGTTTAGATCACAGTCTGTGGAGGTTTCTAGTCCATACTCGGCTGGCTCCAAGGCAGGGTGGCACATGGCAGAAGGCAGTAGTTCATGGCAGCAGAAGACAGCAAAAGCAGCAAGAGCAAAAGGGGAGGGGAGTGACTTCTTTTCCCTCCTTATATTGTATGCCGGCTATTCACCCTCACCCACACGGTGTCTGTGCCCTCCCCTGGCACAGCCTCAGGGTGAATACAAAGTGAGGACCCTGGCCCCCTGCTGAGTCACATAGTTAACCTTCTAAACTCAGGTTGGGGCCAGGGGTGTAGCTCAGAGGCATAAACGCCTGCCTGGCAAGCTCGAGGTCATGAGTTTGATTCCTGGTAAAAAAAAAAAAAAAAAACTGGGCCAGGGATATAACTCAGTGGCATAAGCTCCTGCCTGGCAAGCACAAGGTCCTGAGTACCAAAATAATAAATAAATAAATAAACTCAGGTTGACACAATGAGCAGCACCTAGAGGGTGAGGCCATGCATGTCCTTTTCACCCAGGATGTAGAACTGCTGAGTTACTTAATTAAGCTGCTAGACTCCTCAAGTTGACACAACGTATCCACCATAACATTAGTGTAGGGTGATGCTACAGTGACCAGGAAGGTGGTTGACAAGTAGTCTGAGCCATATCCTAAGGGTTATGAATCTGTTAAGGATTCTATATCAAAAACCCAAGAGAATGTTGAAAGAGTAAGCAAAATGATTCCATTGAACAAACAATTTGACCATGAGGGAAATTGCTGAGGATCTGAACATCTCCTATGGTACCATACAAAGCATTTCAATGACAGCTTTGAACTTGAGGCTAGTGAGTGCAAAGTGTATCCACACCCAGCCACAGGAGCCAGAGCAGCAGGACAGTGCTGGAGGTGCCAGGGCAGCATTTCCTTTTCACTTAACTCTGACCAGCTCTGAGGTAGGGGAGGACTCTAACCATTCTCCCTCTTAGAGGTGAAGAAAGGGTGAGGAGGAACGCAGGTTCCCACTACCTATGAGTAGCTTGGAGCAAGGAGCCTGGTATGTGGAACTTTGCAGCTCTGTGAGTAATGCTGTGCCTTGGGAGTTGATGTCTGTGAATAACATTAAGAAATGTTGAAGCAGATCAGTCCAGTTTGCGGGGAGCAAGACCACAGAGCTGTTAAGAATATAAGCTCTTCGTGGTATTTTAATAGCATTCAACCATGCCGGGCATGGTGGCGCACGCCTGCAATCCCAGCGCTCGGGAGGCTGAGGCAGGAGGATCGTTTCGAATTCGAGACCAGCCTGGGCTACAAAGTGAGCTCAAGGCCAGCCTGAACTGCATAGCGAAACCCTGTCTCAAAGAGACAAAAAAAATAAAGCATGCGACAGTGGATTAAGACGT